GACATCTGAAAATAAAAACCACATTTTTTTTAATTAAGCGATTTGAATGAAATTTCACATACATATTTAAAAACGCAAAGAATAAGCTTCCCAACAATGTATAATACCCCATGAAAAAGGCTTAGTTTTCTTTGAAAAAATAGTGTTCAAACTAGTAAAACAAAAAACTGCATTTCTTTTGCACCAACCTAATAAATGCTGCTTGCATCGCTTACCGAATCTCCGCCCAGTGCTAATGAGACGGGATCTCTCTGGCGGGAACGTAAGGAATTGCGAATAAGCCTCGATGGCGAAGGACTGCCACGAGATTTTGCTGTTTCATTTATGAGCATCACTTCCTGTAAACGGATTGATTCAAAAATCGATATAGTGAAATCAGTAACGGCAAATTTGACTTGGATGAGAACCTGATTCGCTTGAAGGTCAGCGTTAGATCTGTTTGAAAGGACTCGACGAAATCCTCCTGGTCTTCTTGGTTCGGGTGGTTTGAAACCGTCTTCGGGAAGAGATATCAACGAACAAGATGAATCGTCTGGCAATAATGCTGCTTGCTCGCCAAGCCTGTACACCGGCTATGTAAAATGGCCAGACGAATGTTAACTAGAATGACGTCGTAGCATACGATTGAAGCCTACCATTTGTCCTTCTCGTTTAATAGTTCTATCAGTTCTTTGAGCATTATGCGTTCGACATCTTTCCAGTCACTATCGCTCATGTTGAACAACTGGCTTAATCACAAACTATCAAAAAAGTCAAATATAGATAGAAATCGAAGATACGCACGTGTAAGACTGAGTGAAAATGGACGTCCGTTGACCAGGTGGGGGAGTCACTCTTTCTGGAGATAACATTGACACATCTGACTCGCTTGATACGGATGGGGCTAATATCTAAAGCAATCTGTGAGGTATCACCACAGTCGAAAATACAATCGCTTATAGAACATTTTAGTGTTAGAAATTAGGATCAAAGTTTACTGGAGAAAAATAGTATGAAATATAATTGCATTTTGCAGCATGATCAAAATACTAGAGCTCGGATGGTTTTAGGATGGTCAGAAGGTTAATAAAGCAAATTCCCACCCTTTTACGATGGGCTACAATTAGTGAGCACCTAAGTTCTAAGAATACCTCTCGGTACAAAACTAGTTCAATAAAAAATGGAGTGATAGGAAGTAAAAGAAAACATGTAGAGAACATATTAACCTGTTTGCGAGATGTTCTAACGACAGATAAGCGAGAAGATCTTCTCGGAATGGGAGTCAGTTGTTTATCAGACACGGCTGTAATTGGTGTTGCGTAAACAAAGAATCAACAAAAATTGTAATAGCAATATTAACGAACCTCTTCGAGGAAAATTATTCTCGGCAGTGATTCTATCCTGAAATGCAGAAGTACATCAAGACTTCCAATAAAGAAAATAACTTCTTATAAAAAGCGGAATAATTCGACAATAAGCAAGAGAGGGACGGCAGAGTATGAAAAATCAAGTTGTCAGCGTCTGAACAATAATATGTTGTTTTTATGCTGATGAGTAACGCTTAATAAGTCTTTATAGGTAACAAGAAGGTTGTGAACCGAACTGAGATCATTCGGATGGAACTTTACGTGAAATCTCTTACTACAACAACATTGTCTCCTGTTGAAACTCATCAGGGTGTGTTCATGAATCTCAATGCAGCTCCGGTAACCGCGAAGTATGTCAACTGACACCTTCATATATACCCATCGCTACGATTAGGAGTATGTATAGAAATCCTTTTTTTCAGCACCCGGGGCAGCAAGGAAGAAAGGATAACAAAACTCAATGAGCACGGAATCACTAAAGCGGAGTCTGCCTTCAAGTTGAACTTGCAGAATTTAGATTTGTTGAACAGGGTTCAAATCAATAAGTGATGATTTAGCCAAGTGACCACTGAACTTTGGAAGATTTTTCACGAAACTCGGATAGCTGCTAACCTTGCTTTCAACTAAGCCTCCTCTTTACTCCCAACGAGTAGTTCACTTACATTTTTCTTCTTCAGTATAGACTGCGGTGCAACGTTCTCTGAAGAAGACTGTGTATCTGGATCAAGATTCTTGCGTGCAACGTTTTCTTGTGATACAATCTGGGAAAGAATCATAGTGAGGAAAGGAATGGATTACACAAAACTTCTTTTACAGCTTCTAGTAAGGAAAAAATTTAATTTGAAAATAATTGAAGAATCCATGAGGATTCGTTCTGGAATATAAAAGACATACCTCATCCCCACCAGACTCCCTTTGTTCTTCTATGGTGGATTCAACGCAGAACCGCACGGTTCTCAAACTGCGTGCTGATTGGAGATCAAAGTTGGACTGGAATACAATACATCCATGAAATATTTCGAAAAAAAAGAGTAATTCTGCATGCATGGAGTGCGATCGGCAGAAACTCTTTTGATGGGTAGACCTTCAAGTGCTTATTAGAGGAGCGCGAATACTGAGCAACGTAATAACGTATAATTCCGAGATAGGGAGGATGATGCCGGTAGGGTAGCGGACTGTCAATTGCTTGGCTGGGATCTTCCGTGCTCGATTTTATGGCTACCGGCCGTGTAGGCCACACACTACGATACATTACGCATTAGCAACTGTAAAAAATAACAGCTTTAAAGATATCCACTCACATCAGCGCCGAATGAATGCGGCACGTGCTTTTTCGGTGTCAGTTTAGACTTACAAAGAGATTCAACAAATTCTTTTACCTGAAAAAAATAGGAAGATTAAAAATAATTTGCTCCAAGCGGACCTTATCCCTACCTTCATTTTATCAGCGAGACTGACGTTTGAATCAAAGACATTAATCCCGAGAGGAAGAAGGCTGGCGCGCGGTAAAAGCGACCCTCTACCCTATGAAAGATGCATGTTGTGCTTAGCACCTCTAATTTAATTGCTGGTTTGGGAAAAAGTAAAAATTTGTTAGGCTAACCGATGCTATAGAACTCGCACGACCGGTCTTAGCCCGTATGCCACCGCTACGAATCATTTCGAGAGAAGACGCCATAGGCTTGAAGGATGTGGATCCAGGAACTGTCGCATTTGCAGAGCTACTATAAAACCATAATAAGCAAAATTCAACATAGTTAGATTCATTTTTTGAAGCTTAACTTAAGAAAATGAACGGAAACAGGCAAACCTGCGCTGTCTTTCATTGTTTTTCTCGTTTCTGCCACGTGAGGTATCCAGGAGCGCTTCGAGACGGTCTGTCGTTAGAAGCTTTGGAGGTTTACTTGTAGTAGGAAGTTCACTGAATCTTTCAAAATTTCCAATCAGAATTTCATGGTATTTGACAATTAAAAAAAACCATGAAAAAATGCCAGATAGGCCGAATATTGTAGCCGGCAAACAGAGTGCTGGAAACTCTAAGATGGTAGGTTTACGACCGAGAGATGAGCAAACCTTTGTTGTCCATCTGCTTTTTTGGAATTATCATCGCGTGAAGTAGTTGGCTTTGACGACCGCTGCTGCGAGAGCTTACTGAAAAACATCACTGCTATTCGGATCGTCAAACTTGTGATCTACAGCTTAAAAAGGAGTTTCATCTGATTTTTATGCAATTTCCACAAAAAATCTATTGTGATCTACTGAGTTTCGGCTTCCATTTATAGCCCTCTAAAATATACGCCATATCAGGCCCTTCGTAGAGCCCTACTTTCTACCAGTGGCTACGAACAATTGGAACAAAATGGGGCAGAACACCGATCATAGAATACCTGTATGCTTCACGTGCAGCCTTCATCCTTGCGATTCTCTCATTCTCCTTAACACTGGTCTTGACTATTGGTCCACTCCCTGCTTTGCGTCTGGGAACTGATGACTCCCGTCTTAACAGGAATAAAATATTATGCGAGCAATACAGCGTCGTTAATTGTAACTCACTTGTCATCCTTCTTTGCAACCTTTGTCATAATGAAGCCAATTCCCACCTATCAGCTAGTGTTCCAATAGTCTTCGGGAACTTCAGGCACTTCAGCCTCTACCTGGAATCTCACAGATCTAATCAAAACTGCAACAGTAAATGACATTTTGTGTAGCAAGGTAAGAAATTAATTTCGTAAAAGGCGCCTGCGTGCTTATGGTCGTCGAGACGAACATGGAGCAAAAGCACTAAAGAACTTGGAGGGACCCTAGAGGTGAGAATAAAGGTCGTAGATGTAACTCAAAAATTCAAAAATTATAAGGATCGGAGCACAAGTTGTAATTGGAGCACATCAGCATAGAAGAAGTGTAAAAATACCTAACAGAATGCATAGCGTGATTACATGCTTCGAGATTTGAGAGACTTTTATATGCCGAAAGAAGGTATCCAAACAAAAAAGAAAAACAATGGAACAGGTTACATCTGATTTTCTGGGAAAGGAAAGGAGTAGGAGAGAAAAGGCCATAGAAATGCCATTTGTAATGCGTCGTAGACCCATACGTCTTCTTCACAGAGTTTATGCAGATGTACGACGTTCCTTTTTGGCGAGCGTAACTCATCGCAACAAAATAGTAATGTTTTCCATTAGATTTACAACGTTGAAAAATAAACTTAGGCGGAAAGTACGGTAGCTCCGCGTAATACGCAATCACACAACGCGACCAGAAGTGTTTATACGCGCCCATCTAAAATTACAGTCACTTCTGGCAGCGCGTAATGCGTGCGTCGTTGCTGGAATTTTACCAAAACTATTATCCCTGGAGCGCCAAATTGACTAGATATGGAGAGAATAGCAAAAGAGAGAAACGATCATGCTTCCATAGCTGTTCTAAGATTATTCACTTTATTTTTTGATTGAACAACGGGATTCAATGCAGTGTGCTCCTGAAACGTGTTGGTGTTTTTCCTTTTCCGTTAGTCATTTGATTGCAGCTCTACATCTGTTAACAGTGAAACTAAGATGAGTGAAAGGCCCACGTTCCCCCCCCCCCCCCCCCCCCCCCCCCCCCCTCGTCCCCCTAAGGGTGTGCTGGTGGTTCAGTGGTGGTTTCTTATAACTCCGATGGTAACGGAGTAAATATACAACAAGTAATGTAAGAAGTGCGGACGTTACCGCAATGAAAACGTGGAATAATGGTTAATAATACTTTATCTAATAATACAACCTACGTCTTGCCCTGGACGTTGTTTGAGGAAGAAGTGGGGACCACGCGTTTTGGTGGTCCCGCTTGACCCCGTATCATTTTGGGGCGTGGGCCAAGTTAGGGAGAGCCGTCTCAGACAGTGAGACGACGAGATAGTTGTTGGGATCGTCGTCGTAGACGACGATAAAGGGAGAAAAACGTGAAGTATCCGTTGCTCCAGAAGGGTGTTATCTGAGAGGAAAGCGAAAAGCTTCTGGATGGCGAGCGAATTTCTGACCGAGCCCGTGTCGAGTTACTCGTCGCGTTTCGTCAGCCTAGCCGCCTACACGTACGCGGAAGCTGCTATCCATCAGGAATGCGTAATGCTAATGCACAAGAGATAATATATAACCGGCCGCTTTCTGGAACGAGGTCGGCGCCACCGCCTCCGAGCTCTAGCCCTCGGCTTCATCATGAAAACTGGTCTTTTACACAGTATATATGGCAAGAGAAGTAGGGCTGCAACCAAATGGTTAGCTGAAAAGGCAAATCAGAAGTACACTGCAGTAAATCTCAGCTTTCAATCGGAAAGAAAAGTGGATAATTTAAAAACAACCATGATCGTCACTGTTTTTTGCTTTTCCCTCCATATTTATTCAATTTCGCGCTCCAGGGATAACAGTTCTGGCAAAATTCCAGCAGTACCGCACGCATTACGCGCTGCCGGAGGTGACTGTAACTTTATATGAGCGCGTATAAACACCTCTAATCGCGTGGTGTGATTGCGTATTACTCGAGCTACCGTACTTTCCGCCTAAATTTATTCTTCAACGTTGTAACGCCAACGGAAAACTTTCATATTTCTTTGCGATGAGTTTCACTCGCCAGAAAGAGACGTCGTACATCTGCATTAGCTCTGTGCAGGAGACGTATGTGTTCCACGACGCATTGCCAGTGGCATTTATTATAAGAAGCTGTTAAGAATCCTAATTTTCCATAGCATTTCCTTTCTATTTCATCGAAAAAGAACACAAAGTTAGGAGTAGGCTACGATGCTAGAATTTCAGGCTATTTGTACCCTGCATCCGTGCCTGAGGTTCTGATTGTGTTGCCGCTATTATTTTATTCCAAAAAGCCTTCATAACATATTCGTCTTTATTCTGAGGGCATTAACAGCTTTAGGTTGAAGGCCAGATCTTTTGACACTCGAAAATTTTCAGCACTCATTATCTACAGCGTGTGATGGCTACCTCGACTTTATTAGCCCGCGAACCCTTCAGTCGGATTTCGAAGGAACTCAACCACACGCATATAAACTAAGGGCTATCGTCTCGTTTCATCGTTTTTTTTTNTTTTTTTTTCGTATCACCTGAATCTGTCACGTTGTTGTGCAGAGACCGTATAAAATAAGTAACGTAGTCAATATAGGATGAAAACGTGGGCAATGGTAGCGAGTTGAACAACGTTGACGAATAAATTCAGACAGAAGTACGATAGCTGTCCAGGTGTGCAATTACGGCGTGCGATTGCAGGTATTTATACGCGCGCATCTAGAAATACAGCAAGGTTGAGCGACGCCTGGCATTTTGCCAGTTCCGTTATCATTAGAGCGCGAAATCCGCCACGTCTTGAGCGAACGTAAAAACAAGAGGGAAAGTAACACAGAATTATAGAATACCTACCCCTTCACACCTCATAGATGCCAACAAAGTTGTCATGGAATGTTTTGCTGGGCTCTACGACGTAGTAAACCCCTGATAAGGAAGAAATTGAACTTGTGAAGGCAAAATTTATTAGAACAGCGACAAATACAAACCAAACACAAATACTGGACTGAAATGACTTGGCTTGCGTGAATTCATCAACTCGTCGAAACCCTACACATAATCTTTAAGTATAAATCACAAATTACAGCACATTATACAGATCGCTCTTTAGGCAAAGATCGAAGAGCAGCGGGCAATCAACACGTCAGGTATATCATCATTGTCTAACTGCTTGATGTCACCAAAGTGTAGATGAGGCTGCAAATATACTTCTATAAATATCAAACACTACTTTCACAAAACACCATAATCTATGAAAACCGTCATCAGAGAAAAAGGAATAGAAAAATAGAAGAAATGAGTATGAAAAAGTGTGAACTTACGCATACAAGTAGTAGAAAAATGATAGGAGGTAGAATGCGAGCTTAGCCCAGCTGGCGCGTAGAGCAGCGCTCAAGTGGCTACTGTGCAAGATCGTAGTAGGGTCATAGATTCCTGGACCTGACATCACCGGACGACGCATATACCTTGAAATACAACTTGAGTAATTTACAAAACACAATTCTGTAATCATCAGCTACTAGATGACTTGAAATAATAATTACTTCACCCTATGAGCTGCAGAACCCAGCCGAGTACCATTTCAAATATTTGTCATGTTCTCAAAATAAACATGAGGGCACCTCTGAGAGCCTTCTAATCACAAGATTGTTCCTTATTTTGCCTTTACATAAATTCACCCTCGTTTGTGATTCAAAGGTTGAGACTTACTGAAGAAAAACGAGCACAGCAAATCCCATGAACCAGTGTTAAATAATGTTAACGAGAACAAAGGTAAACTTCGTAAAGAGTTGTGGAAGTTTCACAGTCGATACACTCTCCGAGTGATTCTGTTAACCAAAATACTCATCTCATTCTATAACACTTCATATTCACAATCAAAAAAAGGCTTTTCTAAAGGTCAGTGATAACTGTTCTGCTGCTGCTTATGCTTTACCATATGCCCTTATGCTCATGAAAGAAAGAAAAAGAAAAAATTACTCACGTGGCAATGTGATAGAAAGCTAAGGGGAGATTCATCAGTATGCTAAACATCTGCCAGCTGAGAAGAAATAGGATTGTGTAGGTGATGTGAATGACATATTCAGGCAGAATAAGCTGAAAATACGATGGATTGTCGTAGGGAGTTTATTACCGCAGCTAATATTACATTGCATTGACTGTTTCTTACTTGATTTTGTTTCTTTCTTTCCACGAGTTTTCTTGCATTACACTAGCTTCCCTTACTATCATGTCACTAACTGCTTTTTTACCTCACAAACATGGTTTTTTTTGCAATAGATGTTTCCAATATGTGTTTTATCCCATAGCACGCCTGATTTAGATGGAGAACCGACATTATTTCCCATTACAGAATTTAAAGGAAGTTTTCGGCAATTACAAGCTTGCGTCTATTCTATTTTCAGTCGTTGGATACCTTTCTGAAGGGCACGCACATGAATTCGGGTCACATAAAAGAAAAAAGAAAATGTCCCAAGCAATCTTCAATAAATTCGAATCACACACAGCTGAACGCTCAGATCCCATCCAGTCCCAGCCGTTTTGTCTCGTACCTTTTCCTAGTTGTTCTGATCCTACGATTGAAGGTCCCAGCGTATTCTGTATCTTAGTCAATTCAGACATGGAATACAATAAAAGCAAAAAGGAAAAGTCGAAAGAAATTCTGTGCATACCTGGTTTAGGTTCCGGCATTGCTCTATCGGATTCTTATAGTCTGTTTTCAGCTCATCAATACAGATCACCTTCAATAAACGTTGTTCGAGTAAATCCAAATGTAAATTGTATCAATTAAATATACAAATAAAGTGCTGGAACTGAAGACCTCTCCAACTAAATATACAATAAATCTTACCGTGTATATGGCGAAGAAGATACAAAAGGCGACGGCGATCAGTGCGATGAGATATGCGAGGGCAGCAAAAGTGAATGCCATTCCAAATGAACCTTAAGCAGTGTAGAGTGAATGAAATATCATGTGATGGTGTTAGTCAACAATAGTAAAGTGCGTCGGCTGCGACGAGATGTGCAGTCGATTGAATCATGGACGTCATAAATGAAAGCATAAAATCACCCGTCTTCGATGCAACCGCAGCGCGATTTAACAAATCAGGCGCTAGCATTCGCATTACTGCTTTGAACGGTGACGGAAAAGCCCGGCAACGATGTGGGGGGATTGGGCATGCAAAAGCACATGGGAACGCTTAGCTTGCCACCTATCGATCAGCTGTTGCAGGCTCACAAAATAGATTGCACACTGTGATGAAGTAGACGACAAAGCAATGACTCTCGCCGTCGAGCACAACAACACACCATCCTTCGAAAGCGGCCTAGCCAAAAATAACCGCAACTGATTAATTCTTGAGAAGTTAATTCTTCTCTGATAGATTATTGACTCCATAATACTTGTATATACCACTCATGAATAAGCAAATGCTGTATGAATATTTACAACTTTCTGTTCAACTTTCTCGTGGGATCAGAGAGACCAGTATTATTTGTAGAAAAGGCACATCCTGCCTGTAAACCATCCCCACGGCATCCACACCAGGTTCCTCGATCCTTAGAACTTTCATCTCCCGGGGCCTTACTTGATCGCAAAACTGCCTATAATGAGAAAGGTTGCCTTCGTCAAGTCTAGCAGCTAGAAAGCACTCAAATGCCATTGCGCTTTGCTTTCGTAGGAATTGGGTGATAAATAGTTTGACTATACATAAAACTATTCTGAGACGAAGGACCTGCGAGAAAAGTCCATCAAGGCAGTGAAGAGATGCACTCTTGTCAATTTCACGCCATATTCCACAACCCTCTACTTTCCCGAGTATCTGGTGAACTCGATTCGACGCAGGTTCAAGTACAAATTGAGCTAGGACCCCCAACTCGTCCCACACGTGTGAGGATGATTTAAAAGAGCTGCTGACATGAGAAGAGTAAAAGAAAGTTCATTCTAGGGACAGGCTGAGGGAAGGTAGACACAAAGAAAGAAAAAATAAATCGAACTACAGTGCTCCACACAACCTATATATCCCTATGGCATCTTCCCCTACACTTCAAAGTATTCAGGATCGAGATGTAAGGTTACGTGAAAGACCTCACGCCTATCTTTTGCGAACCACGTCGCCTTCCATTATCACATAACGCATGGCAGGACTGTTTGCACATTATGGGCCGAACGACTTCTTTGGCCGAGCTTACTGGTGATGCGGAATAAGTGCTGAGAAAAAAAAGCCCACTACTCCCAGTCCACGAGCGATTTTAACAAAGTGGAAAGAAAAATTACCTATCAAACCTGGAATACAAAAAAAAGAGGAATTGCAACGAGTAGTCTACGTCTGCATATGATGTCTTGGAAAAACAATCAATATTCATTCATCATTATAGTATACTTCGTAAATCAATCAACAAAACATAGTTCAACAAACTTTACAGTTTAGAAGCGAAGACAACTGTGAGTAACTGTTAGTTTTGATTACGTGCAACAGCTAGCATAAAAATGTAGGTGTACTTCAGTTGAAACCTCCGGTTCTGACTATTTCCTCTCTTTCGGGAATAGGCAACTCCTCCAGCAATATTTGAGTCTCTCCATCAGCGGGGATTATTTGAACATTACCATGAAGCTCCTCTGGATCGCCATTATCTTGTTCGTAACTGTAGCTCCTCTCTCCGTCAATCACTACTGGATGCGGTTTCTGAAAAAAAAAAATGAGCCATCTTCTCTCCACTCAGATCCTTCAATTCATTATACCTCTTCCTGGTCTCGATTCAAAGGATGATCCAGTCCACGATAAGACGAGGTCATCTCGAAGTGTTCGTCATCAAATTCTTGATGAATTTCTTCGCTTGGCTCTCCGACCACACTGATCACTTTGTCGTAATCGAGGGTCCATTGAACCTTTTCATTATCGAAACCTTCGATTAGTATTGGGTTGTAGTCATCTTCCTATAATTCCAATACGTAACAGCGTAAAAATACTGGCACGCAAAGCGAAAATACTAGCAACCACCGAAATACACAACTCATATAAGAAAGCCTGAATAATTAACAATGTTGGCAGTATTTATCATCAACGACCCCATATCCCGGACTTGTACTGAGTTCCTAGGTGGAGGTTGGGCTAGAAATTTACTACAAATTGAATCTAAAACGCTGTATACAAATATCCCCTTCGTTTGAATACTCACATAATTGCGTTCAGAGGGACAAATAGTCTACTGACGCATATCTCTCTCCAAATTCTACCCAGGGAGAAAACTCGAGAGGGAATTCATCTCACTTCAGGAGTAGGGGGTATAATGGGTAAGCAGCTCCTCGAAAACAAAGTCACCAGAAACTCAAAGGAAGGGATAGGTTTAACGAATTTTCGTCGGATTCGGTTGCATGCAAATATGTTCGAGGTTATGGCCATTAGTTTAGCAAACCACAAATCGATTTCGTCATATTTTGAAAATCATACAACGGATTCAGTGAACAGAACTCACGTGTGGTTCTGGTACTCGAGTGATTACTTGTTCATTTGCGTCATGGGTGGGAAGGAAAAAAGCTTTCTTGAAAATGCCTAGACCGGGAATGTACCTGAAAACAGAAGCCTGTAGACTCATGATATTCATGGATGTCAGTTTTCGAAACACCACGTCATAAAAGTAACACACCGAAGAGCATTAACATGAAAATGCTGAGGACAGAGATAATGACGCCCTTCCATTGATAAACGGTTCAGCAAACGCATTCTGTTCTATAAAAAAAAACTTCTAAACTTTAGAATAATAAAATCACGATTCTTTTAACTCACTGCTCGCCGACGTGACATGGAATCCACCCACATCGTTCGTTCTGCCGGTTCGTGGGGGAACGGAGTCATATTCTGTGCAAAGTCATGCACCGAACACGCCACGCACTGCGCCATAATTGATCCCACCAACCTCCGCTCAGCGATCAACTCGAAAGGGTCCTAAAAGGAACAAAATTTTGTAAAGTTGCGGAAGAGCAGGAACCCCTATGAACAGCATACCACCAAAAATGAAAAATTCTATGCTAGCTAGTGTACTCATAATCCAAACGATGTTTCAAAAGTGCGAGAAGAAAGAAAAAAGGAGGAAAAACCATATCAACATTAGCTCACTTTTTCCATGTGCGCTTTGCAGATGGTGGATGCTTCAGCCGATAGCTTCTCTACGCCTCTTCTCAGAGTCTAGAAATGATTCGACTGAATTTGAAATTCAAAATGTGATAAAGATTCCTAAAGCAAGATAACGAGGGCGAACGTGACAGGCGCGGAATTGGACTCCACCGTATCCACGGTTAAAGGCAGGGAACGATTATGGAGATAAAATTCCACTGATTTCTGTTTGTCCATTGAAGTAGAAGCATTGGATTCGAAGAATACCCTAAAATTCCATAGATAAGAGCGGGTGAACATACCGGTGAAAAATGAATTGGAAAAAATCGAAATTGAATGCAGTCACCCCTCTAACTTGATGGATGGATAAATTAAACTTCGAAGAAGANTCTTCTTCGAAGTTTAATTTATCCATCCATCAAGTTAGAGGGGTGACTGCATTCAATTTCGATTTTTTCCAATTCATTTTTCACCGGTAGGTTCACCCGCTCTTATCTATGGAATTTTAGGGTAATAATCCTTTCAATTCAATTGAAGATGTTTCAATACATAGGAAGTAAAAGACTGGCAGCAAGGAAAAATGGGGAATATGACGGGAAATTTTAGACAAGCAATACAATGATGTACTACAAAGCTGCGGCATTGTAAGAAAGAGTGGGTAGGTATTTCATGGCCAAAACAGTATGCGCAAAGAGTGGCGGAGCAATACGCAAAAGGATTAGATATCGAAACTGGGAAAGATAGAGTCGTACTGATCACGTTCGGACTCACCGCTTTGTCGCCGCTGATGAGAAACTCGACAAGAAAATTGCGCTCAGCAGCTCCTCTCGGTGTTCGAATCTGGGTAGTATCTGCTTCAACATTCCATGTATCACAAAGCGGACATTTTACGACACCCTGCGGACCACGAGGGATTTTTTCGTACTGGCAGATGTTCTTGAACAAAGAATAGATTACTGTCAAATATAATTACTCTTGAAGAAGTTCACTTACCAAGCTAAGAGGTTGTGAAGTTTGATCGAAATCAATACAGTCCTTAGATACAGAAAAACTACTTTTGGGAAAATGGAAAAGACACAAGCGATAGCGGGTTGCTGTCTCTCGAGTCAATCGCTCCCGTAGCTAGAAAATATGTGGGATTAAAAAGGACTTCTCAGACATAATGTGAAATGCAATAATATAATATGTATGAAGATTTACCCATCGTTGTTGCTTATGTACAAGATTGTTCACCGGCTTCCCCAAAAAAAGACTCTTCGCCCAGGCCAATCTGAAAAGGTGCTAGTAAAATAGAAGTATTTGGGGATCGATAGCTCCTGTACCTGCTGCTCCTGTCCAAAGGGAAAGGAAGTAAGAGGTTTTCATCTCCAAGTTCTTCGTCACACAATACACAGTACTTAGAAAGCCAAGAGTCTATTTGTTCAAAAACTCCCTGTAAACACGCCATTCGTATTTGCTGATGGTATTCTCTAGAATCTGTTTCTCTTTTACTGTTTGAGCTGGAAATGCCGAGAGACGAGGAATGAGCTTAGTGCCAACTGAAAAATCAGAGCCAGTCTGGGTCCATAAAGAGTTCTATGGTGCTAAGGTTGGAAGATTGAGGAGGGAGAAATAGTCGCGTGGTCTAGGAGCATGGTTGCGGAACTCGAGTTGCGCTTAAGCTCAGTTATCCCTTACAGGGTTAAACCCTTAACTCTTAACAGTTTGATCACTTACTTTGACAGAACTGTGAGCACAGAGTTAGAGAGAATATGAGAGATTAAATCAGAAAAAATGGGGAACAAAGGGAAAAATAAAAGTAGGAAGATATGAGGGATATAAAAAGCGCTGAAGAAAAAGGTCCAAATAATGGCTCAATCAAGTAAACAAAAAGCACTGAAGTGAGAAAAAAAGTTACCGCTAATTCCAAGTGATGCTGACATATGCTAATAGTAGGATACTTATAAACGCTCCCAGCAACCACATCAAGTGGCTCTATTCGCCTTTTCACCCAGAGGCGTCGCAGTTCTTCTTCAAAGTCTTTCGGAAACTGCATAATTGATAGATATTTCTCGTGTTTCACACTGAAGGAAAATATTCTGGAGGAATGAACGGTGGGAGAAAAGATAAACATTGAGTTAGTAAGTAGCATAGACTTACTCGTCGTAAGGCCATGTCCGCATGCGATGTTCAGACTTTGATCGTTCTAAGGAAACAATCACATGGCAGTATTCACATTGACGAGCCTCTGACACAACTACATCTACTGTCCTCTGCATCTGAAGTAATCAATGATTTCAATTACAACTGCATCCGATGTTACAGATTTCCACGAAACAAGTTTACGCAAACCCAACCTTTTGTATGATTTCCATTTCCGTATCACTTTCGTCAGAAAAATCAACATTGCCGTCGACAAACGGGTCGTAATAGCCATTCCCTAGAAGGCCTTGAGATGTTGAAGGCCTTTCTTGATAGACTTCCGAAGGACCATCTTAAAGGAAATGTTTACTACTGCAGTGCTTGATCCAGCTTAGATCCAGACTAATTGAGGGCATGAACGGGGTGGCTAAAGTTGAGTGGCGGTCTTATAATGCGTTTCTATCCGGAACTAAGGATCTAAGGATAACTGGTGGTGTTCTCCTCGCTTTGCAATCAAAAAACCTTTGCATCGCTCCCAAAACAAATGAAAAAAAAAACAAATCTGAGCCAAAAGCCATATTAGTCTACAGAAAACCCGGACAATAAACACAAAACAGCGATGATCTTGAGAAGAAAATCACTGGAGATGTTACGCTTTCCAGTAAGAGAGACGGAATACCCAAATTTCGACGTTAGAAGTAAGAAAAAGATGAGCAATAGTAGATTTATACAATGGATGTCAGGATGCATATTTACCTGCGTGATCCGGATATAACAATGGCATTTCAGGGTCTATTTCCAAATATTCAGTTGAGTTATGCATATTATCAGAGTTTAGGCGACGTCCATTCCCACTAGTAAAGTCGGAAGGCAAATGATCGGACTCGTAAATCATATGGTCCCCTGCTCCATCTGACACAAGTCTTGGGAATGTACGTCGCATCTTGTCAATCACGGAGCGTGTATTCTCCCGATCCATTCGTTCCTTAACAGAATGTACCGATATCTAATGAATGATCAACAACATTTGCTCATTTTACTGTAAAAATGGCAAAGCTTCAGAAATTTCAAACCTTCTCTTGGGCATGCTTTCTAAGCAGCAAGAAATTCACTCTTCTTCTCCGTAACTCATCATTCCTCTGTACAGTTGAGTCCACGTGATTAATCATATAAATACGCATGGTTGTTCGCTCATTCTCTTCCAACTAAAATATGACTATGCAGTGAATGTTATTGCAAGATAAGAAAATCGAAAACTTAAAAGAGAGTGCATTACATGTGGGTTTGGTAAAGCGTCTTTTTTCAGCTTCCATTCACCAAATGTATTTATAGAAAAACACACATCAGCAAAATGCCAATCACAGAGAAACTTGGTGGCTCCATTTTTCAAGGCTTCGCGAAGGTGGCTGGAATCAGGGCAATCTCGCGACAAAGGCGAAAGCCAAAATTCGAAATACAGCATGGACAACTCCAGGCGTATTTGAGGTTTCATGCTCACTTCTCAGTTTGCGCATCATTACCGCTGAGAGCCGTGATCCATCGGCGTCTTCGGAAGCGTGCACGAGCAAATGGAATCATAGACTTCAAAGGTCGTTCGGCGTTACAAAACACACACGTTAGAATCATGTTGCCAAAGTCGACATCGTCAGGGTCATGGCTCATCAACTGAATCATCAAAACTTATAATCTATTTGAAGAAGATATTGTGAAGAACTTGAGTTATGTATTCCAGTCGCTCACATGTGGTTCTCTCATGTCGATCGGCAAAACATCCCTTGAATTACGGTAGGAGTCCGAGCCTTCGGGAAAATGCATTGCACATACTTCACCGCTATGCGAATTGTCGGCAAATGCATCCTTCACCCATAGCTCAGCTGCGCGTTCCGGCTCAAGATTGAATCTCAGAATCCATAGTTTGCGAAGCTGCAACCACAGTAAGTCAATAACGCAACTAATGATGGCCAAAAACGGCTTGAAAGGGAACCTGCAAATCACTTGGAAGCCCTCGAGAACGTCCTCCCAATCGTTTTGCTTTGCATACTTGGCAATATTTACCCACATCGTTCCTCCGAACATACGCTTTATTTTTGTAACGATGGTAGTAGCTGAATCGGAAGACCATAACAAAGACAACTAGACTGGATTGCAATCAACTTACTTCGTCGCAGCATAGTCGATGTCATGATCCAAGCTACTGTCATCATCAGCACCTCGCCGTCGCTTGCGTGGCTTGATAATTCTCCTGCAATTACCATCATCAACGAGAGCGGTCAAGCGGCATAAATAGAAAATAATGACACGTTTGTCATGGAAATGAAATCATATTCTTAGAGATGAAACTCAAGACAGAGCCTTTTGATTGGTTCCGCTTCTCCAGATATTCAGTAGTGAAAAGATATGAGAGTAGAAAAGGAAACTCGCGCATTTTGGAAGGTGTCGGAAACTGAGGAACTAACCTTTCACCTTTGTACCCTTGTGAGCGCATAAACTGGAGCTCATCTTGCTCGTCGATATCACCTTCATTGAGAATCTCTACACCGCAAAGAAGATCCTACAAGTATAGTAGACCAAAAATACAGCAAGCAAGAAAGATATTTTGAAGGCACAAAAAGTGTTGCTGAGATATGACCTCAGAATAAATTTGTGGCCCCATCGTATATCTATGTGGTGGTGTCGGATCGGAGAGAGGTCTATATAGGGCTTTATAAGGACTGAAGTTCGTATCGGCCCTATGCCATCCAAAGGTGTACGATTTTTGGCGGCTAGAGGCTGCACCATTCATAGAGACACATCGAAATTCAGACATTCATTCGTATCCCTAGGTGAAATTGGAAGGCAATTTTGGAAAATTTTAGGCGGATGAAGTCAACTCTGCGCAACCGCGACAACTGAAATCGCTCCGAGCACTTTTTCATCACTACCTTTGGGAGGCCTTAGTTCTCGCGAAGTCGCCGGATTTTCTCTCCTTCTTCTTCACTGTACTGTGTTTTCCCTTAACTTCCGCTTTCCAACTTAGATAGGATACCTCAAAATTACGGTGAACTCTGCCGACAATCCGCGTAGAATCATTTCGATGAGTCATCGGCGATTATGCAACATTTTAACGGCCTACCTATCGACGGCTAAAAATTAAGGGGAAGTTTCCCGAGCCACACAGCAAACTTGACAGTGTTCAATTCAAGCCGCAAGTAGAGGCCTTAGAATCCTTCTTGAGTCACTTTTTAAAGGTAGTAATGAGGGACAGTGGGCGAGAACAGAGAAATCAACCAAGGGGATTGGAGTAGAACTCTGCTTACATTTCCAGAGGAACGTCAAAATACTTGGAATGATCGGTTAAACAAAAAACGCAAAGCTTACCTCATTAAGTTCTGAATCGTGCAGTTCTGGCTCATTTGCAAAGACTTTCCTCTCATCGTGGTCATCATAAGCTTCATCTTCCCGTAACTGTCTCGGGTATAAGCGCAGTCGAGATGACATTCCTGCAAAAAGAAACATCCGTGGAGACCGTTATTCGTTCTAATTTCCGAATAAATTTTATACAATAAAGATCGCCCATGAGTTATTGCAACGAAGCGCCAGTGTTTTGAGGGAAAACGCATCAAAATCCTTTTAAAAACTTACCTTGCCCATTTCCATTTCTGAAGGGTCACAAACCGACCACTTCGTTCGGCCGTCATCTCCACATTGTTTAAAGGATTTAACTAAATTCTTACCTTAAAGGAATCGTAGTTGCTTAAAGGGTGATCCGGCAGGTCAACCTTTAAAAAGCTGACGAAAACTCAGCCGCTGCGCAGGCGGGCCTTGGCAATGGAGCGCGAAATAGTTCGTAAGGACAGTACGCGAAACATTGGAATGTATCCCCTCTCATGAAAGTTATAGATTGGTTATATATTCAGCTCAAAATGGTTGGAGGTTTACATTGCCGCTTTTAGGAAAGATACAACCTGAAGCGTGTTGTAATTGGGTTTAATATACGTTTTATATACAATTTCTGCGCATTTAAATGAATGGAGCAAGAATGAAAGGCGGGACCCAGTGCTTACAGTGACCTTACCTATGAAATAGAAGATAATGGACGCAGAATTTCACGGAGAACACATTTCATTGACCGGCATAGCCCTATTTGAATAGACGGATACTTAACCCGTCTCACATATGATGACTACCATCTGCTCGAGTCACAGTCACAGGTGGATCGAGGGATTACTGTGGGAACCGAGTTCCCGTACTTAATTTATGTATAGATGAACAAGACAAGTTCACAGCTTAACACCCGGTACCCTTGACGGGAGACATTTCATTTTGGCAGTCCAGACCCACTGGCACCTCAAAGTGGAGGCCATATAAAAAATCCCAAATAAATTGAACAAATGGTCTGGGGGGAAGGGGAACTGTTGGTAGACAACCATAATGAAAGATAAAAACATGGATCACGTAGATAGAAATAAGGTAGACAGTATAAACGTAGCCAAACTGGGGATAGACAAGCATAAAAGGAACCATTGAGCTCCAGCAGCCGACCTAGTGTCACCGAGGTACGCCGTGCCGTGAAACTCCTTCCAAAATCGTAGAGGTAATCAAATGTAGAACGTAAGACCTGGATGCAGTGTGCGGTCTCCAATGTAGAGACAAAATGGGTTTTTCTCTCGGATTACCGTTCACAGAGACTAGCACAGCACTTTTTCCAACTTAGTCTTCAGATCTTCCCTTAGCTTTATTAATTCTTTCGTTTATACTAACACTGAGGTTTATGGATTTCTCACGGAAAAGTGTTTTTTTTTNTTTTTTTTTAGAAAAATCAATAAAAAAATCGAACCTATACAAGGTTCTCGACCTCATCTTTATTGATATAAGTTCACATACAACTCTTCCACGAAAAGCTTTTCAGGCAAATGGAGTTGATTAAGCCTTGAGCATGAAAAGTGCCGGTTCACGAATATCATGCCTCAATGTAAACAAGACAGAGTTCTCATCCTCGAGCTGTACGAGCAGTTCTCGCTGAGTCATTGAGCTTGGAATGATCTCTGAGCTTCCCCCCAAAGTGAATAATCTTTCAAACAGTTCCCGTTGCCATCGGGTAGCTGTCATCAGCATGCTGGTAAATAGATATCGCTATAAATGACTGTCACCGATTCCCGTTTGACACATGCTCATGCTGGTCCCAACCCTGATTTTTACGACAATCGCCGGTTTGTAATTTTTTTGTTTTTTTTTTTGTTACGAAATCCCCACAGGTACTGGGTGTTCTGCATGTTTGGTTAAGTAGATTTCACTGAAAAATATACGTAATCTTCAGAAGATTTCATTGGCATATTTACCCTTGGAAGCCAGCAATAAACCAAGGTAGTTTCGTCGAAGCATATGCACTATCAGAAACGAGGAAATATGTAGGCTCCAATAGGTTCGAGTTCCCTCCAGGACCGAAATCCTGCAAATCCTACGGCTCTTTGTGATAACTTTTCCTTTTTGGTGTTCGTTTACCTGCACTCTAGAAGTCTCTACAAAGGTCAACGTGACTTCGAAAGCATTTTTTCCTTCTGAACTGAACTCAACTACGGAAGAAGTATCATTTTACTGTAAACAAAAACAGTATGTGAACCATCTGGAAACAGAAAATCAGAGCAATTTCCGTGACTCTTTTCAGTTCTGAATCGAGGAGGAGAGTGAGGCTCCTTTTGAGCAAATGCTATGCTTCGAGCTCTTCATTGTTCACGTTTTAATGCTGTATTTCTGTATTTTATGTAATAACAATATTTTCTACAGTAAGAGTTCCGTTCAGGCTGCTCAGCATACACTCTCGGCGGCGGAGTGCAGGCAACTGGGTGCACAACCTGTACACTACCACCGGCTACCGTTCCATGTAGCACTTGTCAGACAGCACCTCCAGCTCCACCGATCACCCCACCACCAGCTCAGTGGGGAGAATGGGGACCTTTTGGGCAATGCACGTAAGGCTTTCGGTTCTTCTACGTTTTTTTTCTCATTCCTAATTAACAAATGTGTTAAGAAGCAGTTAATCATACTTGTTAAGGGTATCATGCGGAGGTGGTCAACGAACGAGACGACGTCTGTGTAATGGCGGCTGCAGTACATGCCAATGTCTCGGCTCCGCTGTCGAGGTCCAAACTTGCAACACAGCACCATGCCCCTCTGCCTGCACAACTTGTCAACAGACACAACCTCACTACGATCCACCAGTCACTCAACCTCCATGCATCACCTGTTCACAGAACCAGCCACCTCCCCCTTGTGTGGCCCCCTCCACTCCGACACCGTACATTCAACCAGCTCCATCGTCATGTACCACTTGTGGAGTGAATCTGCGATACTACGACCCTTACAGTAACGGCGGACGTAGAAAGAGGTCTCAGCGAACTATCAAGGGACCGCTATCGTTTTTATTCAATTGATCTACATAACTCAAAACTCTTATGTAAAATATTGTGACAGTTGTAATTAGTTTGTGTATTGAATAAATATTTTACGATACTCGAATTGTCTGAGCAGAGGTCCATCCACCCCTTCCCTGCTTGACCCTGTGATGGCACGGAATTAACGCCAGGGAGAAGAAGAAGAAGAAGCGGTTGCCGTCCAGTATTCTGGAGACACAGCTATTCATTCATACTTCTGAAGCTTTTTGTCTGAATTCCTTATTCTCGTTTTTTGGAAAGTTTAAAAAGGCTAGGAGTCCATCAATTATGTTCAAGCTTGACATCGAACATTACTGTAGGGAAATACGTTCAATCTCTTCCAAGCCGGATTGATTTTATGATGGATCGTGACTACTTGATGAGCGTGCCGTAGTAGAAGTATATTTCACGCAACAGGCGGCAAGAAGAAGAAGAAGAAAGTTTCCAGATGGAGGCCCATCTCGGCCTGGTCTCCATTTCACAGATTTCGTTTACTGGTTTATTTTTGTTTACCTCTTACTAGTTCTACATTTTCACTGCTTTTCTAAAGAGAGTTTTTTCGTGAGCCGGTTCGACCCTAGTTAGCATGGCGTTTCGACATGCATATCACTTTTGCACTGCTGCAGAGATATTTGATGTCAAGTGCTATTGTTGCTTTGAAAATGACGTCTCCGTTGTTTGAAAATGAAAGCGAATTAGCCCTGTTCTGGCAGCTGGGCTGTGAATATCTTTTGAAATTAATTCGAGTGATAAAATTATGGGATGATTAAGAGGTCACAGGAACAATTTCACCAAAAAATACGTGAAAACAAAGGTAGACTCCAGGGAAACTTTGAAAACATCTACAGAATTTCATTAAAAATCGCCCTTTCCTGCTATTCCTTGCTGTATACCTTTAGGACTTGTGAGATTAATTTAGAATGAATGTTTCAGCGCTCGTAGAGAAGCTGGAAATGTATCATGCAGCCCGATTACAGTAAAACCCATTAGGTGCTCACATGATTATTACACCCATTTCTCGGTGCTTGTGGGGAGACGCAAATATTCACCTCGGTTTTTTGATTACCAGTAACAGGTAGAGTTTTAGATAGGAAGGCAGAGCGCTGTTGAACTCACCGAACCGGCTACAGGCGAGAGTGACCTTCACATGGATAGGACTTTTACCCTGGTACGGATACTGTTCTCAGTAGTCACTTCATGAATCTATTTAAGATTTTCTGTAATGAATTTCAGACCAAACTTCACATTTGGGAAAAGAAACCAATCCATTCGTCGAAAACTCGTATTTGGCATTACACTGGCTCGCAGAAGAGAAAAAGAGGTCATTAATCCGTAGCTCGGGTACCTTCACAAGTCATGGTCAACCCCAAAAACGTTAATAGTTGCCCACAGAAAGAGAATTGATCAGTAGCTTTTCACTAAGTCGAAATGGTAAACTGCACACCTATAGGAATCTCAAGTGTAATGTGAACTTGAGAATCGATTAGAAGAAATCACTGGAAATAAAGAAGGGAAGACAAATTCAAAGTGCCCAAACAGTGTTTGCTGTAGTGCTTTCCACAGCTTTTCCTGTCCTCCAACCGTTTCTCGAGTCTTACCGTTGCCATACCCTTCCTGTTCACTTCCAGTCACCTCTGGTTAATTGTATGTAAGTCGGACTGTATTGCCGTTTGGACGAGTTGTAGGCCGGCTGAGGTGGCGCGCACCTCGGTCCCGCCGACAAGGTACAGTACGCTGCAAAGAGAGAGAGACTGCCATTGGCTGTGTCTGAACACGGACTCCAGTTGCTCTTTCCATCACGCAACGATTGCATCATCCAGTCTCGTCACCGTCGTCGTCGCAGCAGCCTGGCCATTCAACGTCAATGCCAACGACGCAGCTCCAGAGGTTCCCGCAGTACCACCATGTTGTTATCTATCAGTGGTGCTATTGCTGCCAGGTCTACCTCACGCAGGAACATCTAAAGAAATGGTCCGCAGGGGTATGGGTACATACGTGCGTTCGGGAATGCGCACGGCGAAGTGCGTGCTGATTTAAACGACTGTGGCGCTTATCGTTATTGCTCAAATTTGAAATACAGTAGATTAGCAGGGTCAGCTGATACTACTAATAATAATAATCTACTCCACTTCAAATTTGGACCACAATGATAGGCGCCAGGGTCGTTCGAATCACCACGGACTTCGCCGCGCAATTAGCCGCGCGCATCCTCGGACGCACGTAAGTTCCATCCCCCGGTCCGCAGCCATGGAAGACCAGATAGACAGTACCAGATAGAGGCTGGGAAGGTTTAGATGGCTGATGGATTGAGATTTAGCAGGATCGTATCCTGTTGTGGATCTTACGTAAATATGTATTTTCCACGTTTCTATTCGAAGTATTTCTTGTATACTAGCCAATCATATTCACTCGCACTTAATCTAACATTTATTTTCTTTTACATGTAGTTATTTATAGAACAGTATCCTTATCCTTACTATATATTAGGTTGGCAAATAAGTCCTGCGACAAAAAATTTGAAGCGTTGAAAATTGTATCAACAGTGTGAACACGGTAGCAAGGGTGATAAACTTGTAGGACGTTCGCCAGGGAATCAACACATGAGTAAATAAGGGCACGCTTATGGGCTTTCGCAGCATTACGGTCAATGAATGGACAACACCCAATTCGTACCATCACCTTCTACTAAGCACGCCAAGGAAAAAACGCGAGTTTAGCGGCTCGACATATCAGCAATCTATTCGATGCTAGCACTGCTCACCGATCGACTGTCAACAATCGGTTGGATCGCTTCACTGCAAGAGATACTAGACTTCGGAGCAATGCAATCATCGTCCTTTAATTTAATGGAGGTTGAAGGAATCCATCCACTAAGAGTTGCTAAACGCAGACTAGATGGACACAGCTATCGCTTGCCCCTGTGATCCCCTTTATTTGGCCAACCTGGTTAGAGAA